AGGCCAGCGGGGAGGTGAGGCCAGCGGGGAGGAGAGGCCAGCGGGGAGGAGAGGCCAGCGGGGAGGAGAGGCCAGCGGGGAGGAGAGGCCAGCCTGTGCAGGCAGCATCACAGATCCAGGGAGCAGCGGGCCGCCGTGCTGACCATGCGACTCCGGCCCCGTGGCAGGAGGGGACATGGACCTGTATTACAAACAAACTCCTCCGAGATCCAGAAGGACACTGCCACAGTGGGAAGTACCACGCTCTTACAAAACCCACCGCAAACAGAACACTCACTGCCGCACAGCAGAGGTTCGAGTGGTGAGCACACAGACCATGGGAGGCAGACCTCAGCTTCCCGGCGTTCGCCTGCCTTCTGCAGCTGACCAGTGTCTGTCCTCCGTGGAGATAATAACTGCCCAGGCCAAGCATACCCGTGGGACCCAGCCTCCCAGCTACTGCTGTGGCCCTGGGGGCTCCTCGCGTTCACCTGGTTGTGATAGCAACCGCCCCTGCCTGTCCTCCGGCCTAACACCCACACGTCCGCCCATCTTGAGCATGCCAGACCCTGGGCTGAGCACCAGCCTGAGACCAGAGAAACCCCTAGGCAGGAAGAAGCAGGGCCGCCTTTTGGACGCAGTGGCGCTGGCTATTGGCACCACCTTGTCAACTGCAGATCTTCCCCAAAAAAGAAGAAAAATCCAGGTACGGTGGTGCACACCTATAATCCCAGCACTTGGGAGGCTGAGGCAGGAGGATCACCATGAGTCTGAGGCCAGCCTGAACTATAAGACCCTGTTTCAAGATCCTTTTTTAATCTTTAAAAGCCACATACAGGCACAGGTGCAGGGGTTTTGATCACCGGGTCTACCAGGCGGCCTCACCCCCAAAGCATCCTGAGACAGTGATTGAGACTAGGCGTGGTGGCGCATGCCTGTAATCCCAGCACTTGGGAGGCTGTCCACAGGAAAATCGCTATAAGTCTGATCCAGTAGTGAGGCCCTGAACGCCCTGTAGAACCTTCCCTAAAAATACAAAAAAAAATTTTAAATACACAGAGAATAGAAAAATAATGATTACTCTGCCTAAGAACATTAAGCTAGAAATCAGAACACTGGGTACAACCTCCATCCCTTGTAAGTGGGTGACTGGGCATGGCCGCAGGCCCCTCTGGCAAACTGACCTGCTGGAGGGAGTTATACGGGCATCATCACCCAGCGCCCTTTGCAGCAGTGCCAGGTGCTTCTCCCTCTGCCTGGCCTCTGCCAGCCCCTTGCTGGTCCTTTGGAACTGGCACCCATGCGGCTGTGGCCTGGCATGGGACTTCACACCTGCCGATGAGCAAAGCCCCAATCAGTGGACCAACCAGCAACAGACAGGCCTCATTAATGAGTGTGTGCGGTGCATGCCTAGCACAGTGCCAGCTGGCAGCGGGGCTCTGTAAATGTCGGTGGCATCTAATTTAGAAGTGCCAAGCTATGCCCACCAGAGAAAACAAAAATGTAGCAGCCATTCCTGACCTTTACTCACCTATGTCAACCTTTTCATTTTACCAGTGAAGATTCTGAGAACAGAGAGGCCAGTGAACAGAGAGCTAGGCTGCCCAGCAAGTATAGCCCATACTTGCTCAATTTACCCACAGAAGGTGGAGCTGGGACATCATAGCTGAGAGGAGAACTCCTGGGGTTCCCAGCCCTGCGGCAGTGCCACTCCCTGGGCAGACAGCGCCCCCTCCATCACCCTTGGAGGTACAGGATCTGCCCTAGACAACTAGGAGGCCCTTGGGACCTGGAGCCTGCCACCTGCTCAGAGCATGGGCCGGGCTGGACAGCTGCCATCCTTCTACCAGTTTATTTATAAAGCGTCTATGGCTGAGTCAGCCGCCGAGCTGCCCCACGCCATCAGGGACTGTTTCTGGGATCCCAGCAGACCATAGCAGCCTGCCTCTTGGAGAAAGGGAGAGGCGGAGCCTGGGCCAGCATGGCTGGTGGGGTGTCCTGATGCCCTCCCCACGAGGCAGGTCTAGTGGAGACAGGTAGGGAGCTGCACGTGCAGGAAGGTGGGGCTCATAGGCACCTCCCAGCGCAGAACACGGCCCTTCCCCTCTGCACCACTCCCCCTGCCCTCTTCCAGCCCAGACAGACAGACAGACAAGTCCAAGAAGACAGCTCCCACCCTGCAGCCAAGAGCAGCTTCTCACACCTCCATTCCTGTGTGTACAACTCTCCATGTTGCCTGGGGACCAGCTATTTATATCTCTCTGAAAAAGGAGTGCGGCCCTCAAAGCTTCTCTGCTTCCTGCTCCTGGCAGCACTAATTACCTCCTCAGCTGGACGCTGCCTGCCACTCCCAGCCGAGGCCACCAGCACAAAGGCACCTGCCCTCACAGCCCACTTCCCGGAGAGCTTGGGCCCACACCCTGCAGACAACGCCGCCACCCAGGGCTGCTCCGAGCAGGTGGTTGGACGCCCACTCTGGGCACCAGGCCGGGACCCACCTCTCCAGGGCGGCCTCCACGCAAGGCTACAGGGCCACCTGCTTGCTCAGCTAGCCCACCGGGGGCCTGGCGCAGTTCTCAGCCTTGGCAGGCAAGGCTGTGGAGGGCAGGGGATGGAGCAGCCTGTCCGCTCTCAAGGGAGGCAAACACATAAACAACTCATTATGCAACGAGGGAGAATGAAGTAAGTGCTAAATTAAGGCACAGAATGAGCAGGGAGCCTTCAGGGCCTCAATTCTTCCCTGCTCTTCTTCCTTATTTTAAAAGCAATTCATATTCACCATACAAAGATTTTGTGTGTGTGTGTGGATAACAAAAGAAGAAAATTATAATATATTCATTCTGCAGCCACCCAAAGACAACTTTGTCCAGTTTCCATACCCACACTACCAGACATTAAATTGGAAGAAGACTGGTGAGATAGCTCCTCAAACCAAGCACCTGCTTAGGCAAGTGCAGGGATCAGGGTTCAATCCCCAGCACCACATGCCGCGCCAGCCCCACCCCGAGTGCACTGAGCCAGCCACCTAGACCAGGTGTGGTGGTGCATACCTGTAATTCCAGCACTGGGGAGGCTGAAAACAGGAGGGTCACTTTGAGTTCAAGCTGCATAGTGAGGCCCTGTATGAAATACCAAAAAAAGACCCAGAGCGCAGGCCCGGCGAGTGAGTGAGACGACCCAGGGCCCTCAGGATCCTGAATAGACCCAGAGCGCAGGCCC